GTGACAAAATATGGAAAAGTTCAAGGGGTATGAATACTTTTGCAAACCACTGTATATTTACGTGCAAATCCTAACGCGCGGTGCATATATTTACGTGCAAATCCTAACGCGCGGTGCATATATTTACGTGCAAATCCTAACGCGCGGTGCATATATTTACGTGCAGATCCTAACGCGCGGTGCATATATTTACGTGCAAATCCTAACGCGCGGTGCATATATTTACGTGCAGATCCTAACGCGCGGTGCATATATTTACGTGCAAATCCTAACGCGCGGTGCATATATTTACGTGCAGATCCTAACGCGCGGTGCATATATTTACGTGCAGATCCTAATGCGCGGTGCATATATTTACGTGCAGATCCTAAAGCGCGGTGCCGTAAATAACGTGAGAACGTGCGGTGGCGTTACGCGCGAACGCGCGGTGGGTTAGGGTTAGGTTAGAAAACGCCACCGCACGTTATTTAGCGCCACCGCGCGTTCGCACGTTATTTACGGCACCGCACGTTAGGGTTTGCACGTAAATATACGCCCGATTTATGACGGACTTGACATAATTAAAAGACGCATGATCGAGCTCGACCGCTTCGCGCATGCGCATTTGATACCACTCAGGATAATGTAGGCTAACAGGCAAGATGTAACTTTTTAAGTGGCTGATTTTAAATGGTTCTTTTTAACTAAACTTAGGTGTGAAGTAATATGGGTTTTATCAGTGAAATACCGCTTAAAACGACTTTTAACAACTTTTTAAGGTATGCAAAATAAATATTTTTTCAAGAGCTTTGCTAATTAGTTTCTCTCTTAATGTGAGGGTAGCTAAGCTGAGCTAATCTACGCAAAGCTAAGCGTGGTTTATTTATTTATTTATTTATTTATTTATCAGTGTGCATTGCCAATGAAATGCACACTATTGTGATTCGTTTCCCATCCAAGTCTTCTCAACTTTGGCATGCTTCTCCTCCCGCATTTATATCTGTAAAGCTCCTGTGCCAAATGATGGCTATGCCTTTTGGTGCCTGTAAAACGTATAGTTTATGAAATATTAATGTTTATTGAATGATAATGGCAGTCAATGGAGCCTTGTATTGGTCCAATACTGCCCCATGCTGTACTCAACTTGGTACTGCACCATAGTTTAATATTTCAACCCAGTAGTTCAGTGTTTACAATACTAATATAATTGTATTTTGATGTTTTACTATAATATTGTCTTAATACTGCTCTGTTGTTGTAATATTATGCATTTTTGTGTCAATAATTGTATTGGCAATGTTGCCTCTTTCTGCACACATACAAACCAACCCCTGCCACCATCTTCTGCCACAGCTCCATTGGTCTAATGGTTTATGTCATGGACTTTCACGTGGGAGATCAGGGTTCAAAACCCAGCTAATGCAACTTTAAGAAAAAATCTCTTCAAACTTCATATTGTCACACAATTACCTTAATTACAAACACCTGCTGACGTGACAGGCACAAGCTGGTATAGAAAACACATTTGAACTTGGTCACATTTCATTCTGCAAGTCCATTGCTGCAGGCAATGACACGCTACGTGGCAATGCACACGTTAAAACCCATGTCTAGTTTATTTTATTTTGCCTAAACAGTAAGAACATGTTAGATGATGTTAACTCCTGGCTGAATTTGAGTTATTTTAACTTGTGCAGGAAAGTGGGCCCCTGAGGACCACAACCAGACATCATCAGAAAAATCCATTCTTGTAAGTGGTAAGAACAATTATTCCTCTTGATCAAGTGAAACTTAATTTTTAAGGATTTCTACAGTTTTGCATGCAAATAACTTACCTTATACAAGTAATAAGCCACAAAAAAAAAGGTGATGAATTAACATTTTAATTGAGACAAATTGATGATTTTCTGTTTTGTGTATCTTTAAACATTTATTATCCTTTTTCATTTCCGGATAAGAAACACTGAAGGTAAACGTTTTTTTTTTTGTCTTTCTCCTTTCAAAGTCAATTACAGAAGGAAACATTAAAAATATTTCTTTTTGACTCTGTTTTTATGTTTTTATAAAATGCACAGCTCACATTCACAGAGAAGTTAAGGGTAGCACAATAGTCACTTATAAACAAACTGAGCCTCAAATTCCCTTTTTGCTACAGAAAAAAAACTTCTCGTATTCAACCTCGTAGGTAGAAAAATCCAACAGTAGTCACAATGAAACAAGATAAATAGCAGTCTGGTTGACGATAATAAATATTCACAGCCTACAGTTTGTTGTACTCACCATATCTAGTAGTGCCAATAAACCAATCGTGGTTCTGCCTTAAAAAACCCAAAATCAAGAATAAACCAGGGTGGAACCTGAGTTGATGTGCAACAGTTGGGTTGAGACAAATAAACAATCTAATTATTTCACATTCATCTAAGAAAAAAAAGGCTCAAAACAATGAAGGATGGACATTCAACATGTAAAATAACAGATTTCAAGTCAAAAACATTCCCTTCTAATGTCATTTAAACTAAGAGGCAAGTTTAAAAACATTTATCATTTCTATTTCTCTTTTTTTACTGTGTTAAACCCAAACGTCTGGCATTTTAACTTCATGATATAAAAACAAAGAAAAGCCAAATAAACCCTTTAGTTTCCAATTGTCACTTAATGTAGAATCGTTTTTTTTTTTTTTTTTTTGTAAATGTTTGGCCATTTTTTTCTTTAGTGCAAACTTCAGCATCTTCATGCTGACAAACAGCTTCTAAATTTAAATAAGCTTAAATGAACAAAACATGCATTTAGTTTGTCAGTTAAAGCTGCTTTTCATTTGTGTTCCTTTCCTTAACGCTTACGGAAAATAAAACAACCGTACAGGTAATTTACGAGTGGGTTTTTGTACGTTTACAAACAAATAACGTCGTCACGAACTCTTCGATGCGACATGAAAACAAATCCGGTCCGTACGAAATCAACAGCAGCTCAAAGCATTGCATCGTTGCTCATCTCAGGCCTACAAGAAAACGTACCGCGTCTCCCGACGAAAACTAACCACGCCCACCGACTGAGGCAGGATCATCTGAAGCTATAAACATGCAGAGCGAGGATTAAAAAGGAGCTTTCAGATTGTTTGTTGTTAAACTCGATTGTGATTCGGGATCTTTTAACTGTTTAATCCTCCCTGCTGCAGGGAACGTCGTTGCCTCGTCATTCTTTTCACGACTAAAGTGCAACTAAACTGAGGTACGAGTCGTTAAAACGAACTCTTCGTGAGTTTTTTTTTTTCCTAAACGGATCAAACGACTCGAACCGTAACGGTAAAACTTTAGATGTTTATAAATCAGATCAATTTTTCAAGTTCATCGTCCGTCGTCTCTTCCTCAGAACCGGGATCGGTTCACCTTCAAAGCCACACTGTGGCCGAGCAGGAAAAAGAAAATAAAAAAGCTGACCTGTCAGCTTGGTCCATGTTCACAAGACGGAGGTATTTCTCTTTAAATCGAATGAAGATAAACACACTGCAAAAAATGTCCACCTAACCAAGTTTTAAAACCTTATATCAGCCAAAAAGTCTTTTTGATCTCCTTTTAGACTGATTTACTAAACAAGAGCTGATTGTGTAAGAATAATAATCTTGTTTTCAGAATATGTAAGATTATTTGTCTTGTTAGTCTGAACATTTGACTCAAATTAAGCAAAAAATTTCTGCCAGTGGAGTAAGAAAATTTTACTTGGTAAGATTCTTGAAATAAGAAAAAATTGAGTCAAATTGAGTATTTCAAGAATCTTACCAAGTAAAACTTTCTTACTTCATTGGCAGAAGTTTTTGACTTAATTTGAGTCAAATTTTCAGACTAACAAGACAAATAATCTTACACATTCTGAAAACAAGATTATTATTCTTACACAACCAGTTCTTGTTTAGTAAATCAGTCTAAAAGGAGATCAAAAAGACTTTTTGGCTGATATAAGATTTTAAAACATGGTTAGGTGGTCAGTTTTTTGCAGTGATGTCCCCCGGAGAAAATCGCAAGATTTCATTGGAATTTTTAATGGGCGTGGCCAAATGACTCAACAGCGCCACCTATCATGAGATAGAGGAACTGGTAAGTCCTACAAAGCTGAAATTCGGGACATGGGTAGAGCTCTCCAAATCAAGAAAAAAAGTCTCTTGGAGGTATGCGCTAAAACCAAAAGGAAGTTGGCCATTTTGGGTCAAAGGTCAAATTTTGGCCAATTTTCACAGCAGAGGAAAGAGGAGTATAGAGCTACGAACAAGGTGAAGAGAGGAGTGAACGGGCAGGAACTTTTCCCCGTATTTTACAAAGTTCAGGAGCAGCTCTGATCAGTCCCACCTGAACCCTGGACTAACAGAATTAAAGCACCGGCAGGATCTGGGGTTTCCTCGTGTCTACCAAGGTATTAAAAAACAGGGACGTTTCGGGGGTTTCTGTGTGAGTTCACGAGCCGGGGCGTCTCCTCCCCTGGGGGTCATCAGGGCAGCCGGTTGCCGTACATCAGAGGGATGATGAAGACCGAGATGTCGTCTCCGGAGCCCAGGCGCTCGTTGGAGATCCGCCAGCCTCTGTCTCTCAACACGCCGCGCGCTCGCATCACCAGGTCCTGCGCCGCCATGGTGTACCTGCAACGTGAACTCGTTTCAAGGGTTTCCTCTTAAAAATACGGGAGCTCTGAATCAGCGAGGGGGACGGGCCGCGCCTCCCTACCTGTGCAGGTCGTCCGGGTCGCAGTTGGACAGGAAGGCGGCGACGGCTTCGGCGACCTCCTCGTTGGAGAGGACGTCCCAGAGTCCGTCAGTTCCCATCACAAGAACGTCGTCCGCCCCGTGTTCGTACTGCATCAGGTTGTACACCTTCACCTGTCGGATAAAAACATCCCACTTCACTTATATATAACTTTAAAACCAACTTTTGCAGCTGCAATAAAAAAAACACATCAAATAAAGTACATTTACACAAACAAGCCTGCTAAAAACAAATGCTGCTCAGGACACAGAAATCTCCACAGCCTCTTAAAAGAGCTCGCTTTATGATGTTTTACTTTATGACTTCAAAGCTGTTTTCCAGAGAGCATCTTGAGAAAACAGACCAGAGGCTTTGATAAAGAGGAGGAGAGAGAGAACACTGGGAAAAAGTCTTCATGTGAACCTGCAGTGAACTCCGGTAATAATGAATTAAAGATTAAGCAGAGCGCTCTGGGAGGGAAAACTGGAAGAAATCCATAAGACAAACTGTGTCAGGAGATGAAAGCGCTTCAGATCCAGATCCAGACTGAGAGACAGGTGAACCAGAGTTCTCCAGCAGCACAGAAACTGCACTCTACCTCATACATGCTGAAATATAGATTTTATATAGAAAAACCTTATGAACGTACAGCTGTCTTCACAAGTCAAAACCTTTTTTTTAGAGGAGATATTGCAAAAACACCTCAGCAGCACTCTTACCTCGGGGCAGCAGGAAAGAAACGGCTTGATATAAATGTTGGAGTCATGAACTTTCAGGTCGTGGTCACCGAGCCCACGGGTCACACCGATTGTCGCCAGAACTCGGGCCTAACAAACGAAAAGCATTATGCCGATTTTAAAAATACCCAAGTCAGGAAATTGGGGGAAAAAAAGAAATGTACCAATTGATTTACAAAGTAAATAATAAATGCTTTGCTAAATTTTTTTTTCCTGAAAATCAGACTCAAATGTACCTTTTTTCCTTCGCCGTATATAAGAGGAAATTTAAGATCTTGGTCTTCAATAGTCTTGTAGGCCCTAAATGTTAAAAAAAACAAAAAAAAAAAACAGAAGCAGAACAAAGAAGTGAACTTTTGTTCTTATTTGCTAATTGCTAAAGTACAAGAGCGTCACATTTCTTTTTTAAGTGGATAAAAACCAAACTACAACGGAGTATTAGGGCCACACAACAAAAAATTTTTTTTAATTATTATTACGAGATTAAAGTCATAATGTGAAAATAAAGTCATAATATTACAAGATTAAAGTCATAA